GGGGGGGGGGGGGGGGGGGGGGGCTGCTCCGGGATGCCCTTCCTGCGCTTCCTGTGTTACTCCCCTCACCTGCCTGTTCCCCTCCAGGTGTATCGTGGGCACACCAGCCTCGTGCGCTGCATCAGCCTCTCGCCGACTGGGCAGTGGCTGGCATCAGGTGAGCTGGGTGCCCTGACCCCGAGGCGCCTCCAAGGCAGGGGGAGGGCAGCGGAGGGGAGGCAGGTGGGTGCCCTGGATAGGGAAGGGGGGGCGGCCTCCTTGCCCCTCCCAAAGGGGGCCCCCTTTCCAGGCTGAGGGGCAGCTTGCAGTCCCCAGGCGCACACACCCACACACACCCCGGCTGCAGGCAGGGCCTTTGGAGCCTCCCTGGGGGGGAGGGGCTTCGCCTTCCAGCCTGGAATTGGGACCCTGGCCGCACAGGAGCCCCCTCCCTCTGAGGGCCATCCAGGGCCCCCCCCCAGGGGCTCCGTCCTGCCAGAGGGCCCGGCCTCCCTTCTCGGAGGAGCCACAGCTGCCGCCTCGCCTGCCCCTCAGGCTCCGATGACGGCACCGTCAAGTTGTGGGAGGTGAGCACGGCCAGGTGTGTGAGGACGCTCCCGCTGGCAGCGGCCGTGAAGAGCATCGCCTGGAACCCCAACCCCTCCATCTGCCTGGTGGCCGTGGCCGTGTGAGTGGGGGAGAGGAGGGGCTCCCGGGTGGGGGGGGGCGGGGGGGGGGAGACGGGCCAGGATGGGTGGGACAAGCGGGGAAGGCCGGGCCGGTGGTGTAAAAGCCTTGGGAAGGGAGGAGCAGGGAGCAAGCCTCCTCCCCCCTCCCCCTCCCGCCCCCATCCCCAAGGGGGTCTCCTGACACCCAGGAGGCGCTTGACCCCATTTGCCCTTCAGGTCCAGCAGAGGAAAAAACGCCTCTGGGTGCCCCCCTTGGCACAGAGGAAGGGCCTTGTTTGGGGGCTCCTTCCCTTCCCCCCCCCCCAAGGTGGGGACAGGTGGTTGTGTCTCAGTTGCTGCTCGCGGGGGGGGGGGGGGGTCCTGCGAAGGGGTCTGTCCCCCGGGGGGGGGGGGGGGCCCCCCGCCCCCCCTCCCCGGAGGCCCCGGGCGGCCCCTGACGCCCCCTCGGGGCCCCCGTCCCCTCCAGGGAGCACACGGTGCTGCTGGTGAACCCCGGCCTCGGGGACAAGCTGCTCTGCGGGGCCACCGACCAACTTCTGGAAGGCCACGTGGCCCCTGAGGAGGGCCGCCTGCAGCCCGTCACGTGGGAGGAGGCCACGGAGGAGGAGGAGCGCCGCCTGGGGGTGCGGCTCAGACTGAGCTTCGGGAAGGTACGGCCCGGGCGGGGCGGGGGCAGGAGGGACCCCCCCTCCGCCTGCACCCGTCCCCCCACCTGCCCTCCTCCTCCCCCTCCTCCCCCCCCCCCCCCCCTTTAGCCCTTGAAGCAGGTGGCCTGGCACGGGAAGGGGGACTACTTTGCCACGGTGGTTTCGGACAACAGCCACCTGCAGGTGCTGATCCACCAGGCCAGCAAGCGCTGGAGCCAGGTGCCCTTCCGCCGGAGCACGGGCCAGGTGCAGCGCGTCCTCTTCCACCCGCTGCGGCCCTTCTTCTTCGTGGCCACGCAGCGCTTCGTCCGCATCTACCACCTGCTCAAGCAGGAGCTGACCAAGAAGCTGCTGACCAACTGCAAGTGGGTCTCCAGCATGGCTGTGCACCCCGGAGGTGAGCGGGGGTCCTGGGGGAGGGGGAGCCCTCCCACCCCTGCCTCGGCCGCCAGTCGTGCCCCAACGGGCCCCCCTCCTCCTCCTCCTCCTCCTCCTCTTCCTCTCAGGTGACAACTTGATCTGCGGCAGCTACGACAGCAGGCTGGTCTGGTTTGACCTGGACCTCTCCACCAAGCCCTACCGGGTGCTCAGGTAGGGGGCAGTCCCCCCTCCCCCC